GCCCGCCAGGCAGGCCTGCTCCCTCTCCAGAGCCCGGAGGCCGGGCCTTTCCCTCCCTTCCCCTGCACCGTCGCCATCAGCCCGGCAGCCCAAGCTGCCATTTTTCTAAGACTTGCTCCTTCGCCCGCCTCCGCGCCTTTGCCCGCAGGGGCCTGGGCCGGGGGCGGGCAGTCCGCCCCACCCCAGGAATCCCCAGTTCCGTCCCTCCCCCGCGCCCACGCCCCGGCCCCTCCAGCTCGGCCAGCGCCCACCCCGTGACCCGGCTCCCTCCTACCTGCTCGGCTCCCTCCGGCCCGACCCGACCCGACCCGACCCGACCCGACCCGACCCGGCCCGGCCCGGCCCGGCCCGGCCCTCCTCCCTCACCCGTAGCAGAAGGCCTGCCCGCCCCGGCTGCAAGCCCACGGTCTGTTGAACCCGGAACCGGAAATCCGGTCCCGCCCCGCCCCCACTCGAACGCAGTCCCAGCCGGGGTTGAAGCAAAGGCGAGGGGCGGGGCCGGGAGGCGGGCCCATGCCCACCAGCCTCGGGCGATGCCCTGGACCCCAAAGGAGAAGGGCCTGGCGGCTGGGCCTCCACGTCGGCCCATGGAGCCAGCTGCCCCAGGCATCGAAAGGGCACTGGCACCCGAAGAGCCTGGGCCTTAGCCTTTCCTCTCCATGCCCGTCTCCACAAGGATGAGCAAGCAAGGCCCTGGGTTCAAGTTCCACCCCTTAGGGCCCCGTCTGGGGTTTTCTTGGCAGACGCTGGAATGGTTGGCCACCTCTGAGGGCAAATACCCACTCAGTACCTACTGTGTGACCCTAACGCTCCTTCAGGCAGTTTCCTCATCTGCAAAACGGGGACGACCCTAGCGCCTACCTGCCAGGGTGGTTTCGAGGAACCGAGATGGCCAGAGGGAATTGCCAACTTTGAAACCCTTGCTAATGCCCGGCCTCAGAGGAAGCACTGGCAAAACGGGTCCCATTTCAGTTCAGAGCCCTCCCCTCCCTAGACTGCAGCGACCTCTCGCTCGCTGGCCACCCCAGGGCGTCCGCCATCTTGAACCTCAGTTCTACACCGCCCCACCCAGTGTGGTGTCTGCAGATCGGAGTCAAACACAACAGGAAGCCACTGGCCTATTTCTTCCAATGTTTATTGTGACCTTCAGGGAGCAGCATCAACCCCAGGCCCCCCCCCCCCCAAACTCTTGGCTGGTTCCCTTTCGGGGCCTCCATCTCCCTGCATCAGTCGCTGGAGCAGTGGGGGCTACCGAGGTTAGGAAGGGGTGGCTGAAGCGAACGGACCTCCACCTCACCCAAAGGGTCAGGGAGGAGGGCGGGACAGGGGCAGAGCAAGGAAGGAAGCAAACAAACAAGGGCACAGGGGGATACGGGGAGGAGAATGGCGGAAGGTTCGCTGCAGAGCCCAACGGGCCACACTTGGAGAGATGGAGGTGGAAGAGCGGGGGTGGAGCCACACGGGCCTGGCGGTTCAGTGGTCGGCGTTGCGCAGGTCTGTGGTGAGGGGATCGTGCTGGATGGTCTGGTGCAGCATGAGCGCCAGCAGGCCGGCTCGGTTAGTCATGGCCATCCGGACATTGCGCTCCTGCTCGAAGAGCTCATCCAGCTTGTACCACTATATGAGAAGAGGGGAAGGAAGGGGCTCTGGAGCCTGTCCCCTACAACCCAGCTCTCTCTCCTTTACAAGTTTTCTCTGTGGCTCTTGTTGGCAGTGTGGGGGCTGGGGAGGAATCTGCACACTGCTCATCTAGGCCCCAAGGACTGCACCCTTCCACCATCTTTCCACCCCACCCCTCCCCAGGGTGCGAATGCATTAGCCGGCTTCAGTCCCAATTCCCTCCCCTAGTTTTAACTGGGGGTGTCTTCTCTGGCTGTCCCTCATGCCTGACACTCCTCCCTCTGCAATCTCCACGCTTCATGCCACGGCTCCTGTCAAGTCTCAACTACAGGCCTACCTTGTGCAAGAACTCTTTTCTGACCCCCCCTTAACCTCAGTGCCTCCTTCGGGGAGGCCCCCAATGCACCCTGCCTAGTTATCTGCACAGAGCTGTTTGCAACTGCAAGCTCCTGAAGAACAGGGTGTCTGGCTTTCTCCGGATCCCCAAGAGTTCAGGTACTGAGCGCTTCAGAAACACCTGGTGGCTGACCTCAGCCCGGTGACCTCCCTGTGACCTCCGAAGCGAGCTGAGCCCTGCCCCTCCCCCAGCTCCAGCTCCAGCTCCAGCCCCGAGGGGAGGCCGCCTCACTGTGAGGCCCCACCTCGCTGGGCTCCTCTTCGCCCTGCCTGGGCTCCAGGCCCTCATCCACAGGGATGAATGGAGAGGGCGGGCTGCTCCAAAGCCTCCACCCGCCTGAAGCCTCACCACTCGCACACGCTCCAGATCCACCTCGGCCCTCCGAAGCTTCTCCCAGCAATAGTGGCGATTGCACTGTCGTTTGGGCAGGCGACAGAAGTCTCCGGTCAGCTCGAACACGTCCCGTACCAGGGGGCAGCCACACACTTCATCTGCAGGCACCTGCCCGAGCCAAATGATCCATTGGAGCCACGCCGGCACTGGCTTTGACAAATGTCCTCCAGAGAAAGGATGCAAAGACCACGTCCCCAGGACCTGCTTCAAACAACAGAGCGTCCCCGACCTACTGACTCACCTTAGGGTCCCTGGAGTGTTCAGGGCATAGGACTTGCAGGCGCTTGCAATATGTTTTGCTCTGTGGGTTGTAGACATCACAGAAAAGTCGAGTGGCCCTGGGGGGTGGGGGGTGAGAAGCAAGGGAACCATATGATTATCAGAAATCCCAGAAGAGAGAAGATGGTTCGGCTCTCCCCTCCCCTCCCCCTCCCCCAGGTGCCCTCTCTCACCCCTCAATTCTGGTGGGGTACATCGACCCAAAGGATGTCTGGCTCTCGTACTGTGGAAGACAAAGTTAGAGCCCATGGTGATCCAGACGTGCCTCTCACAGAGCCAGGGCCCTCGTCAGCAGGGATTTGCTCCCCTCTAAGTCTCTCTAGCTGGCACCCACTTTGCCAAGGACAGTCTGTCCAATCCCCACTGTTCCGAGGGCAGCCACTATCTCC